GGGGTTAAATTTTAATCCAAGTCTCTTTGTTTCTCGATTCAAGAGCCTTTCTGGGATAATTTTCCCTTGTTCTCTTTAGAGCATCTAAGCATTAAATTTTAGATAAAAATAATTGAACTTAATTTTCTTTTAAAGCTTGCAGATCTGAAATCAAGTTTCGCGCTAACCCTGGGTTATCTGAACCCTGGGTTATCTAAACCCTGGGTTATCTAAACCCTGGGTTATCTAAACCCTGGGTTATCTAAACCCTGGGTTATCTAAACCCTGGGTTATCTAAACCCTGGGTTATCTAAACCCTGGGTTATCTAAACCCTGGGTTATCTAAACCCTGGGTTATCTAAACCCTGGGTTATCTAAACCCTGGGTTATCTAAACCCTGGGTTATCTAAACCCTGGGTTATCTAAACCCTGGGTTATCTAAACCCTGGGTTATCTAAACCCATCTTTGAACAACCTGGCCCAGAACTGTAGAAGTAATTTTCAACTAACTGAGTTCTTTTCGCCAGGTCTTGCTGAGTCTTGGAACTTGGCAACTCTTTCTTTTCTTCACGTATGCAGAAAATAAGGATATAGGTAAGTGAATGTTTTATGTTTTAGATCAAGTTTGTTTGTTTGTCTCTTTATCCTCTGGAATGAGTTCTGCTTGGGTTTTGAGAAACAGGGATGAACACAACACGACCGTTTCAGGCGGTCAACTTAATGACCACAGGATTATGCTCACTTTGACCGCGCAAAATGAACAAAACTTTGTGCACACATTCATTGCCAGAAGCGCTTTTTGGCGGGAAAATTCCTGTGTGTGACGCTTGTTGGGTATGCAAACAAACCGCAGTCCACAGCTGACGTATCTGGTGTTTGATTGGCTTCCTCTTCTCCGACGAAGCAATATTCTACAAATAATTCCAATCTTCGCGGTCTTTTAGAGAGTTATTTTTCCCATTAGCCAAAGACTGTGTGGATCTTCTTGAAAAAGGTTTCAAACAAAATGGCGTGTACCTCATCAACCCCGATGACCAAGAACCTTTCCAAGTCTTTTGTGATCAAAACACCAATGGAGGGGGCTGGATTGTTTTTCAAAAACGTTTCGACGGATCTGAGGACTTCCATAGAAACTGGTCTGACTACAAGAATGGATTTGGAAACGTTACACAAGAATTTTGGTTGGGAAATGACAAAATCCACCGACTAACCAATCAGCATCACGAACTATTGGTGGAACTTGAGGCGCATGATAACTCAGCTGTGCATGCGATATATAGCTATTTCAGCATTGGTTCCGAGGAGAATGGGTACGAGCTTCACTTGGGTTCTTATACAGGGAGTGCGGAAGATATATTCACATACCACAAAAATGTGAAATTCTCTACTAAAGATGTAAAAAATGATGAAGAAGTTTCGGTGAACTGCTCGCAAATGTATCGTAGTGGATGGTGGTACAAAAAATGTTCTCCTAATAGCTTAGCTGTTGACTCCAACGGTTCAAGCAATGGTCCTACTAGCCCACGGAGGTTCACTTCGATGAAGATTAGAGGATTGACAGGTTTGAAAGAGTTTTTTAGTTGCGTAGATTATCATTTCGCATCATCATCTCTGGGGCGTACGTATTTATCATCCCTTCACACACCTAAGATCAATATGCATTTTGAATTCTCTAAGGTGTTCTCTATACATTCCTGAGGTGCTGACAAGAAGAATTTGTTTAACAATCAATTATGGGCTTCTTTAGTTGGTGATCATTTCTTTCATTCTCCTGATCTTTATCTGTGATTCAGAGGTGATAATGTAAGGAGAAATTACATGCTGGTCACTCTCGAGGGTTTAAGGGTTAACAGAGTCGTGCCTCACCAACCCAAGCTTCGGTTGGAATCTCTTATTAAGTTCCTCTCGATAAATCTGAGTTTGAGACTGATTTGCCTCCAATGCTTTGTACCAGGTACTGAATGGGACTACTCTATAGATTTGATTCAAAAAGCTGGTTTCACACATGCGACGATTTCGAATATAACTGAACTCAATGAGCTCTCAGCATGCTGGTGGATAAGACTAAATGATACTCAAAGCGTCACGGTGTTTTCGATCGGGGATTCATCACAAAGCAGTGTTGCGTTTTCCATTCAAGGCACGTCTTTGTATAGAGTTACGGTCAATAGAAATGACGGGTAAGTCAGGTTTGCTTAGGTTTATTTTATGTTCCTTTCTCCACTGTACGCTGCTCGATCTCATAGTCTGATCGTCGGGTTGGGAGAAGTCCTGGGAATGACTGTTGTCGGCAGTAGTAACTGACGTTTCGATCGACTACCTTATCGGAGCTCGCCACCAAAGTCAGGTGAATTCCATTATCGGTCGCCGCGGTTTATTGGTTCGTACGCATGCTTGCTGAACTCTAGATTCGGAGGTCCGGGTTAAAGTTATGACGGGTCAATTCCTCTCACTTATTGCCTCTCAGTCCACTAAGGGTATAAATCGTTGCCGGGGAATTGTTAACCTCGTTCCCAGGGCTTCTCGGTTATTTTTCCAAAAAGGCAGCCGATCTGGAGAAAACTCCTGGCACACAGAAGATTAAAAGATTGCAAGATGAGGGACAATGTGGCCGCCAAAAAAATTATGAAAATATCTGCAACAAGGTTTATAAATTCTCGGGGAGACTTGAAAAGTTCCTGCGAGATTGCCTGCAATTGAACAGCATCTAATCCGCGGAAAAATAGCGATACCTCTAGGAATAGCAGTACCCAAGAAACACTTGGCTCGTAGTATTTCTCCCCTCCTACTTTAACCTTTTCACCACCAAGATCTCTTAGTTATTCTTCTAAATGTCTACGCCACACTGTTTAAAATATCAGTTCTGAGAATTTTCATGGATCAAATGTTAATCCTCGCATTGAAATTCTTTTTTATTCCCATCACTTGTTTGCTTGATTTTGCGTTGATTTTGTCAGGAGAAATTCTGTATCGGTCATTCATAAGAGTCAAAGGGTTTAGGTCTTTTGCCGTGATCCGCAATGATACAAAGGAACGTAGTAAAGGGAATAACTGTTTTATTCATACTCTTATTTTCCAGAGATATTCATCTCCCCGAAATAAATGTTTTCGATACTCACTGGCATTTCATGTGTATCAGAGGGTCAGTGTTTAAAAATAAGTGGAAGTTCGCGGTGGATGGAGTCCGAACACAAATACAATCCTTAAAAATGTTAAGGATACCACGAGGCAGCCTTTTGAGAATCGGAAGTTTCTCCCAATTGGAGCTCAGCAACAGAGAAGAGAAGGAATCGGTAATCGGGGAGTTAACTCACTTTAACATTTGGGACGGACAGTTAAATTTTGTGGACATATTAAAAATGACACGGGGGTGTCACGCCCAAACAGGCAACTTTATCTCATGGTCAGTGATTCAGTTTTGGCTTCATGGCAGCGTCAATAAAACGTCCCCTTCATCATGCACAAGTAAAGGTAATTTGTTTTATGTTTTAAGACCCTCCTGTGACTTGCTGACTTTTTGGAAAGAATTGTTAATGCCGGCGATAGAGGAATAACTTGGAAAGCCTTATTCTTACTCTAAGGGGAATAGGTTAGGGAAACTATATCGTGCACCAATGACATGATTAATTTCTTGCATAGATAACATTCATTGGAGTTTATCGAGCGCCAACGGAAGTGAAGTCGCCGATGAGAGTCTTCTGTGGAGAGGTAAAGTCGAGGGAGACGGAGTGGATCTGGACACTAACGTTATCAGTCTTCAAGGTGCAGGTCACGTGACTCTGGGACGTTTCCACGACAATTGCCCAGGAAACCCATCTATGTGCGAGGATGGTTTTACTGTGAGCTTCTGGATGAAATACGGAGGTAATGTAATATTTTGAAAGACAGTAGAATCCATTAATATTGTCTCAGTGATGTTGCATTATTTGAAGTTTTTCGTTCTGTTCCTCTTGACCAGTGAAATTTGCATCCTGCATTCTTGGACAAAACGAACTATATCACGAAGCCATCGAGTCGATGATGTCAGCGGTAACCCCTAGTAGGAGCAAATGGATTCGTTGTTACCACGCCAAGTCAGATGGTTGCAATGCGCAAGCGTTTCACTCACGATGTGATAACAAAGGGCCCACAGTGACTTTGGTACGAGTGCGCGAGATCGTGTTTGGAGGATTTTTGGATCAGAATTGGGGAGGTATCACAAACGAAATTTCAAACTTAATTGCCTTCACTGATTTGAATCGTCATCTTTTCATTCTGAACCTAGTTCAATTGCTCAGAGATGCCCAAGGGATCTAAAGGATATATAAGGGGAATGAAGGCCTTAAGGGTACATACAAAATGATGCTATAATAACATTAAAATGCCACTAAAACTTGATATACTAACTACCCTAGGCTCCTCCCCTCCCTGCTTTCCTCGTACTGATCAATTCCTTATAACGAAAAAATGTTTCCCTAGGGAGCAATCATTATTCAACACCGTGGGGCCACCAAGGGGATAAATATGGACCATCGCTATTTTTATTCTTCTATAGGTCCGAATGGTATAAGATCAATATCTTCAGACTCGGCCTTCCTCTTTAACATCAACAACGCTCTTGAGCTGAAACCTTTCAAACTTAACATTAAAAAAAGTCAAAAACAGATCGCTGCTCTGTATGATCCAACTACCGGACCAGTGTTTGGACAAGACGACTTAAGAGTCACTTTCGATAACAGAAGTATTCCCCTGTATGGTGCGTCACATATCGGCCACGCCTACGAATTACCCCAAGGATTTAATGGGACGGATCAAGTCGATGGGATGAAACTCTTCGCTGGAACCAGGATTTTTAGTTGGGACGACTTAGAAGTATTTTACTACGATGGTGAGTCTTTTGTCTTATTGACATCTTACGTTTGTAGAAAGCGCTTAATAAATGGGAAGGTAATTCAACTACTAAATAGCGCAGATTAAAATGAATAATCAGATGAGTAATGCTTTTGAGAACCATTTTTTGCAACGGTCCTTGACTGAAAGAAAATAAACTCCCGAATAGGAAAAGAAAAAAGATAAAGATAAGATTGTCACAACCTAAAAATAGAAATTAAGAGTTATATGCATTGTAACTTTTATCGATTTTGTCACGAGCGCGAGTTCGTAGATGTTTCGCGGGAAAGCATGAGACTTGGGGCAACATGGGCGCGCGAGGGATCTGCGAGGGGTCTAGCGATGACCTTCCCGACTCGACTGAAATATTCCCGCGGGCGGAGAAACGAGTATCCCACGGGCGGAGAAACGGGCGTCCCGCGGCGCTTTAATATTGTATCATAAGCGCTATTTCAGCGTCTTCTTACGCATGTCTTTCCATACTCAACTTAAGAATTTTCCAACGTGTGTTATTTAAAATTGTGTTTATGTTTTTAGTGCCGCATGCTTCCCTTGGTGTCAGCGACCCAGCTACAGTTCAGAATTCAGCATTCAATTCTTCGTCCGAAAAAGTCTCTTTGGATTACTCTGCACAATCTGCACCAGTAGGCTCTGCCAGCGAATGGTGTGCGTATTACAATGATGAACATCAGTGGCTGGAGGCGAGTATCGGTTATGATCCTGACCACACTAACTTTGAATTGAAGGCATTGAAAAGCGGAGGAAAATCAGGGATGACCTGGTATCTACTTAATTCAAGCACAGATGGAAAGATCTGGAACGAATTTAAAAATGGCGAGGTGAGACGAAAGCCTTTGGCAGCGGCCAAATAAATATCCTTGTAAAATTTATTATGAGTTTTATTTAAGTTACATGGGTTTGGTTCAATAATTTTTTTTTTTTTGCAGAGAATTCCTGAAGGCAAAGGCGTCTCCTTTATAGGAAATCTTCGTTATGTGAGGTTCATACCTGAGTCATGGGATTCTCGTATCTGCATGAAAGTAGAAGTAGATGCTGGAAAAAACAAATCTCAAGGTACACATAAAGCTTTAAAGAAATGTGTAGTCAATACGTCAATATTAAGGGGTGATATCAGCATTGTTGTGTCACTATAAAATTTACCTGATCCCCAAAAGGCTCTGTGATATATTTATGACACCCCCCTCCCTCATTGGCAGTCAAATTTTTTATGCTCCCTCCTTTATACTTTTTTAGCGAGGACTGACCCTCCTGTGATAACCATGTGATCTCCCCAAACTCCTCCGAACCCCCGGTGATGGATAAGGACTGGTCCCCTAACGCTGATTCCATCTTACAACAAGGCCAAGTTTCACGAGCCTCTAGGCCATTTACCATATCCTACTTCTCCTAACATATCACTCCAGATTCAAACGTTGAGGTCACGAGATTAATGGAAATGGTTACCGACTGGAGAAGTTCTTCATTGGTTGTTAGAGAAATTTTCCCTGTTGATACCCGAGGAAGTGTAGGGGGATCAATGTTGAGGATAAAGGTTGGGTGTAAAGGGTTATTTCTCAGAGCACAGTCTGAGGTCCACAACTTGAAGCCATCAATTGTATTTGAAAGTAACCTCCTGGCAATTCTTTAAGTTTCCCTACCGGTTCACCGGAATCTATTCATACTCCTTAGTTGAGAGAGGCTTGGGGAGAGTACAATGTTTTGCCCAAGAACGCAGCACAAATGACCTCTTGTCTAACAGTTTAATCACAGACATACCAGTTATTTGTTGCTACTGTTGTTTCTCGATTTCTAGTTGCCTTCAACAAACTCACAGCGTCGTCTGAACTATGTATGTCTCCAGCTTACTTCGCTCGACTTCACCTCACTGGGGAGTGTTTTTCTGCTTGGTGCCCTCGGCCTCGTTCCCAAGACCCTCATCCCTGGCTGAGCGTGAACTTGAATAGCTTGAACCAGATTCTGTTTGTTGCTACACAAGGTTCCGACAACGGACAGGACAAGACTCATGTATTGTCTTATTATCTTAGTTACGTTCATGAGGAAGATGGAACAATAAGAAACTACACAGAAAATGGGAACTTAAAGGTAAAAAAGTTGAAATCCGGAAGTTAGGGGAGATTTGTAGAGCTGTTTGTTCAAAAGGGACAAATATTTCAGATGTAGAAAACGATCTGTATAAAACTGTGGGGATAGCTAAGAAAAAGAAGGAAGAAAAACAAGGCATTTGACCAGATCTCCTTTCTTATCCCGCGCCCTCTCATTCTTTTGTCACATTTGCAGCCTTCATTTGCTCTCGTCACACAACGCGTTCCGTCTGCACTGCGTTGTGTGACAAGACCCAACACTGGTTACGATCGATAAAAGTCCTCCTTCTACCACTTGAGAGATAAAATGGACATACGATTCTAAGAGAGTACATTGTTACTTAGTTTACGTTTTTGTCTTTTCTTTATTCAGATCTTCGAAGGGAACTGGGATGGATCCACTGTTGTTAAAAACGCAATTTTGAATCCATTCCAGACAAAATCGTTGACTTTTCACATTGTTGACTCGAAATCAGATCAGTGTTGCCTAAGAGTTGAAATTTACGGTCCAAGTAAGCGATCGTTTATCGAATACCCTTGTAAAGAAAACTGATATTTTTTTAAGAGAATTATTTCAATCAAGTTAGGTTTTGTGGATTTGTTGGGTTTGATTCCAGTTTGTGCAGAGAGGGTTGATAGCTATTTTTGAATATCTCTTTCGCATTATAGCTTATGATCTTGTCAAATTCAGTGATTAGGGACATTGGAATTTGAAGATTGAAGCGAAGAACTTGAGCCTGTTTCCGAGCTTAATTTTTTAAGATCACTAAAGTCCTGTTTTATTATGGAGCACTTTTCAAAAGAATGTCGAACAATGGCCAATGACAAACAATAGTGAATGAAAAGACACGTGACAGCCATCGAAAGCAGAACGCACGTGACCAGGACGGGGTTGGCTCATGTTGAGCGTTAGAGTAGTTATAGGGGTTCTGCAAGAGTTCTGGACCAATCACTAAAAGTAGCGAGGTCTTAAAGCTAATTTTCACGGTGGTAATAACACAGCAAAACCGGAAGGATCAATCAACGGATTGATCGGTCGTTCGACCGAATTGTTCTGTCATTAAAATATTTTTGGTTACAGTCATGAACTAGTTTATGTCGTGTCTTCTTAAACCTGGTAGGATGTCAACAACCTCTTGGAATGGAAAACGGGGCCATCTCTGATGCACAGATTACTGCCTCGTCCTGGCATACACCCTCTGACCCTAAGGCCTATGTTCCGAGCCGAGCTAGGCTCCATACACAACACAATGAAGACCCCTACCTAGCGGGAGGGTGGGTAGCTGCCCCGGACGATGTTTATCCATGGTTGCAGGTCCATCTCGGCAATGAAACTTTCAAAGTCACCAGAGTGGCCACACAAGGAAGGAATTTTTACAAGCAGTGGGTAAAGAAATACAAACTACAGTACAGTCAGGATGGTGTGAGCTTTAACTACTACAAGGCATATGGAGAAACAAAACACAAGGTGATGTAGTTGAAATAAGACATTTCAGCGTGTATTACATGATCGGTAAAAATTAGGAAACCACGAGGGAGGACAATTAAAGTATAAAGTTTTTTAATCTCTTGCCTGAGCGACCCTATCCTCTTCCCCCATAATAGCCATACTGTGGAAGTGGTTGTTTCCACTCCTTTGTAAAGGCCGTCAGAGCTTGCGCATGGGTTTCTGAGCCTTCCATATATAATCTACAATGGTGAAAGGTTTTTAGTAACAAAACTGCACACGATTTCTTGCAGCACCTCTTTGCCCCCTCCTGCTGGGCAGGTTCAAATCGATTGCACCAGAAAAGAAAAAGCTTCCTTTCTAAGTTTCAAAATAATGACCTTGAAAAGCAAAAACTTAAAATTGCGTCATTTTATTCTCTAATTCCAGAGCTTTTGGGCAAAAGCGGAGAGCGATATTGTTGCTTATCGTGACCTCGATCCTCCAATCAGAGCGCGTTTTATCCGATTTAGACCGACACTTTGGCATTATTTTGCAACAATGAGGGTGGAACTCTATGGATGTCCTTTAGGTAACTAAAATGAAATTTGGCCACAGCTGCAAAACTCTAGTAATACGTCCTTACTTCAAAGTGCTTAGGGACCATTCTTTAATGTGCAACCAGACAAAAGCCTATGAATCTACGTTTTTACTAACGGCAGAGTCCTACTCCTCCGTCCTATGGTGGGTGGTTGAGACGTTGCTCTGATCAACACGTACTTCCAGGCATTTGAGAAAATGTATGAGAAAGCTTTCAAATTGTTGTGAAAATTTCCCTTAGAAAAAATATATGCGTTTAAGAATGAACATTGAATGTTAGTCTCGCGTCAGGTAAATGTTTTGGTACTCTTTAGGTCGACTGAGGGTGATTTATTCCAACAGTCTTTCTTCCCCAGTGATTTTCACGGAATCTAGAAACACGTAGATGTTGATTCAAAGGATGACGGTTCTTTAAAAAAAATGCATTTTCTATAGCTAACTGTACTGTAATGTGTTTAAAAGCTGCAACCCCTCTTGTTCGTCAGATTTAAATGGTGACATGTTATGGAAAGTTGATTTCAACAAAGTGTGAGGATTCAGCAAGACTGAGTCTGTGCCTCCCTGGGGAATTTAACTAGGATTCGCCGAGGGGGGTTGGGGGAGGAGCTCTTGATCATTAATTTGCATGTTCCTCAAGCCAAGTGGCTGATATGGCTGCTCTACCAAGTTAATCAGAAAATTAAGTGTTTAGCCCAGAGAACATTGATGCCAAGGAGATTATTTGGAACCGCACCTAGGAAAAGGGGAGGTTGTCATGGGCACCCCACAGCCTCACCTTCGTGCAACGTACCTGCTCTCAACAGGCTCCTCGCATGGGGTAACACCTTTAGACCCTCCCCCAGAGTCTTCCGTCTTGATCCGCTGATGTTTAGTTTAGACATTTTGTCTCAGATTGCAGCCCTAAACCTCTTGGGATGGAGAACGGTGCAATCTCTGATAGTCACATAACTGCGTCGTCTGAAAACGGTTTGAAATGGCCCGCCAAGAATGCGCGACTGAACTATCCCCAGGGTGGCGCTTGGGCACCAAAGCTTAACCCAGATGAATGGTTACAGATCGATTTCCTCAATTACCGCACAAGCGTAACCTCAGTGGCAACACAGGGAAGGTCTATAGGGAACATCACCCAGTGGGTATCGACTTACAGGCTCCAATACAGTAACTTGGAATACTACTTCAAATACTTTAAAGAGGACGGGACAAATGAGGCTAAGGTAAAATGCAGTGCGGATCGCCATGAGCTCCAGCTGGATGATAGATCTTTTTTTTAATGGAAACTTACAAACAAGAATTTGTACTAACTCTGTGGTGAGACAAATGGATGAACTTTCGTCATGAAATGTGTTATGACCTTTCTTTTGCTTTAGGTTTTTTCTGGTAACATAGACGGGAACTCTACCGTATCACACGATCTTAACCCACCAATAATAGCACGTTATGTCCGTTTTCTGCCACTAACTTACCACGGATTGATAGCTATGAGGGTGGAGCTGTATTACGGCTGTGTACAAGGTATGAACGTTTTCAATGCTAACTGTTTTTGAATTTCAGGAACTCTGTATAGAATGCTTATATGAACCCTTGTGGGCGGCCCAAGATAGGGGAGAAAATTGGCTCATATCCGGATGGAAAGGTTCAAGTTCAAATCATGATAGGGTCACTTGAGATGAATTGAATTGAACTGAATGAACAGCAAATTGAAGCAACACAGATGGAGATTGGAGGGGTGGGGCTGATGGGGACTTAGACACACCGACATTCTTAGATCGGACTAAGGTTTGCCACCCTTGAATGTAGGCGTCCCTTTGAGAGAGATCTATCTGGCGTAGCACTAATATTCTTCCTGATCTTCTTACTCTTTAGCCAGTGAAGCGGAAGATGATACAATCGTTTCGTGGCGAGGTACAAACTCTAACAGTGAGGACAAAGCATTCGAGCTCAAACAAGTGAATGATTTGTTGACACCCCATCATCAGCTGTCCGTCACAGCTGCAAATGAAACTTACACTCTGTACATTCCAACAGTCCCCAGAACCTGGCATCATGTGACATTCACGTGGAGCAAGGCCTGGGGAATAAAATTTTATCAAGATGGCGCTCTTGTAGCAGGGACAGGGAGATCAGAGAAAAGTGTATTTGTAACAAAAGGGGAATCCAGTGGATTATTCATCATTGGAAACAGGGTTCTGACCAGCGGAAGAAGCGGTAAATCTAATTTTCAAATTCAAGGACTGACTGTGTGGCCTCGCCTTGTCTCCCTAGCGCAATTAAAACACGAGTTGGAAACTGGTATGTCCCAGATGTTAAAGCGACTAATTTTCTTTCTTTTCTTTCTTCTCGTTTATTTTTCACTTGTATTCCTTCATGCCAGTTAGAAGCCGTCAATTATCTTTCGTTAGTGAAATGTTCATTGACTCTGTTTTAGAGAACGCATGGTTTGCTTTATAGTTAAGTTGATCATCGTTCAATATACTTCAGAATCGTCCGAAGTGCTTTTCGACCCTCTATTCAGAGAAACTTCCTCTTAACTGAATAGCGTCACAGGATGCAATGAATTCTCTGGTGTCTTCTCATCCTTTTTTCATCAATCAATCAAAACCAATCAATCTTTTATTCAACCCTATTGCAGTAACAACTGAATCACAGGGGGCGGTCGCGACATACATTTTGAAATTTGACAGTTACAAAATCATTAAATCTTTTACATTT